AAAAATTAAAAAATCTCAGAATAAAATACCAAGCGTGATACTAACTTTTCTAAACAGAAACTTACTGAACCAAAGGCCCAAACTTTTCTCCTTTTTTGTCTTTTGTAAATATTCCAAGCATTTCTATTAATCAATTATATAATCTATGTGATCTTTACAACATGTCTATGGGTTGTAGACTCCCCCAGCTTCTTGACTCCCTGGGTCTCTTGTGTCCCTCTGCCGCAGATGATATACCTCAGGAAGTTCAAAAACCTGCGCACTCTGAACCTCACTGGGAATCCAGTGTGTGACAATGAATTGTACTCCATGTACATCGCTGCTTACCTACCAGATCTTGTGTACCTGGATTTCAGACTGGTGGAGAGTAACATGGTAAGAATGTAAAGACATGTTCCTCTTATAAACCGATGCTATATCAAGATCCCGTCGCCACTCCCTGTCCCTCGGGAAGACTATGCTTGCATGACTTCAAAACCACTAATCTCAGCTGAGTGTCCTTCCTGTGTGTCCTTCCTGCCAGCGAGAGATGGCCTTGATAAAATACCAGTATGCCATAGAGGAGATGAAGCACGGGGAAACACTGGCCTTGACGAAGCAGAAGGAGAAAGAGGCCCGGGAAAAGGAGGTGGAATCCCATAAGGTATGTTAACGCTCACTGGCTGTGGGTCACGAGGCTGTGGGGAGAAGCTGCTGGATGCCTTCTGGCTCCCAAAGATTTAATGGGACCTTAAAAATCATTGAGTTAAAACCGAGTCAGAAACAGGCATCTATCTCGCTATTTGAAAGGAAAACACATCTACATGCCATTTGATTAGCCCTGGAATGTAATTCTTTGTGCTGAAATATAAAACCTGAAAAGTTTCAAGGGGAATGGCAACAGCTGGATTCACATGCCAAGCTGGCTGAACAAGCCATGAGATCCTGGATGGTTTGTAATGCTAAGCCCCAAATCCTAATTTACAAACCCTAATGCTAAATGTGCTAAAATCAGATCTCTGACACCACACCTTAGCATAACGTGAGTTTGCATTGAAGCATAAACTTTCCATGCAATTTGTATGTGGTCATTTATGTGCAGTCTGCTTTTTTTCATAGTTTTGCCCCTGAGGACTCCTAAAGCAGACACAGCCTTCCAGCCTTGAACAACTGGGACTCTCTGAGCTGCTTGTCCACCAGAATTATCCAGGGTTCAGGAAGGCAGGAAATGTGACAAGGGATATCTGATAGGGACATAATCATTGTGTGTGATATTTTTCACTTAGTGTGCTCATATAAGGGAGAGCAATCCAGAAAACTCTGTAGAGTTTTCTGAGGACTAATATTTAGAATTAAGGCATAAAGGTCCCTCTTTCACTAACTTTGTTCTTCTTTCCCCATGTTATTTCTCTCCCAAGTCTGCCTACGTAGAGTATCTGGATGGATCTTTTCTCTTTGATAGCATGTATGCCGAAGATCCTGAAGCGTCCAAGTTGATTTATCTTCCTGGAGTACCAGCGCTGTTAGAGACATATCCTTTCTGGTTTGGCATAGAATGAGGGACACATCTTGAAAATACGATTTGAGGGAATCCTCTGTTGTCATGAGGACTAGTGTTGCCCTTTAAACAAACAAAAAGCAAAACGAGCTATCTTGACCCGTAAGGGGGAAAAGATCCAAAATTTCTGTTGAAGTAGCATCTTTTCTGGGCAACTAAGCTGGTTCACTGCCTCCTGTTCCATGCCCCAGCTAGGTCTTCCTCAGCTGGGACCTTGAGGAAAGTGAATAACGTTGGAAGGGTTCCAGGCTGACTTAATACTTTATATGTATTTCAAACCCAAGAGGGTCCCCCGAAAGTCTACCTTGCATTGTTCTCTTCATTGTTCATCTATGCCCACCCGCCCGCCTTTTCCCAGGGAATTCCAGAAACTTAACATGGGAAATTGCTCCTGTGTCCATTATCATCCTTGGTGTCTCCTGCAATAGAGAACCATTTTAGACTTATCCCCTCAAGGCATGAGCTCCTCTTCCCTTTTCAACCAGAATTTCCCCAGGCAGGAAATCAGCATGTATGAAGCAGCCTTAATTTTTCTTTTTTTTTACTTCTTTGACTTCAACCACACATACAAGAATAAATTTGTAGACATTTGCAAAACTCTGTTTGAATATGGCCTGCAGCAGCACGAAAAGCGAGAGGCTGAGATTGGCATTTTCTTTGAGTGCCTTAATGAAGCCCTACAAGATAATCAAGAGGAGGGCACCAGAATTATTCAGGAGTTTGAGAAGAACAACCTCGGGGTAGGTAGATTTTTCACCAAGTGAATTTTGGTGAAAGTTAGCACCTTCCCACTCCAGCGCCCTCCCACGCCACCAATGTTGTTATTGATAACAGTCATGAGCATAATAAATCCTGGTTTGTGAAACAGGATAGTGGGATAAACCATTTTATCAAACCAGGGTTTAACCAGGAAGTCTCCTTTCAAACCAGGCATGAAAGAGAAGGGAAACACAAACATGTTATTCTGTTACCAGCAAGGATCTTGTGCAAGGCTCTTTTGAGAGTCTTTTTACTTGCTATTAAGTACATTTAGGATTGTAGCCATATTGAGGAACCTGCATATTCCAAAGATCCACAATTTGAAACCTCCCGTGGAAACAGTTCCAGTATTCAAATTTGATTGTGCCAGAAGCTTTTTTCTCCCTGTTGACAGAGGAAAGGGGTAAAGGAAAAATATTTTCTCTCTCATATTTTACAAGTAGATAGTCGATGCAATTCAGAGCCTCAGTGACACCCAGGTTGCTGAGTTAAGGCTGACAGAGTACAACGAAGAAATCACAAAGCTCTATGAAACGTTGATGACTCTGGAGATGCAGCTGGTTGACCAGTTAGAGGTAAGGCAGTGGACATTTTTGGGGAGCCCTCCCTTGAAGACACTGTTGGGATCTGCTAAACACTGGTTGGTAGACTGGGATCTACAGTACTGAAAACTGGTCTGTTTCTGCTAGACCATTCAATGCGGGCTGCGAATGTAAGACTGACAAGCATTTCTTATATTCTTAAACACAACAGCAAATGTCCAACATCCCCAGACACTCTGCCTTATGCTATAACCATCATTCCCCAATCTTTTCCCATCTAGGTATGTCAGCAAACCAGGAGAAATGTAGTTTGTAAGCCAATTGGAATGTGAAAAGTTGTGGAGTTGTTTTACTCAAACTCACTTCCTTTCATCTGTTTTTTTCTTTTTTCCCCAAGGAAGTTATAAAAGATTTTGAAAGGAACATCGCTGATCTTGTGTCAAACTTTATAGAGAACGAGCAAGGATTATATCCTTTTGAGTGCCTACTGTTAAGTGTGAAGGTGTCATAACTGAAGTAAACAAATGTTTCAAGCTGTGAGCAAGTTGGTTCATGTACACCATCCAGAGTGGCATAGGCCTGCACTGATTTGTTTTGGAAGTACTTCTCATGTCCATAAAACAAAGCTTTCCTCTGCTCTTTGTGCCAAATTTCACTCTGAAGATCAGCAAAGGCAGGACACGTAGATATCCCTCTTTCACTCTCTTGGGTCAGTAGTTAAGTTTTCCAAGAAGCCCACTTGGACTGAGTTTGTAACAGTTTGCTAAGCTACTGTAGAGGGTTAATTATCATACATCTGTCCTGGGTTTCAAACTCTGGGATTTGCAACCCCCCCATTGCCGTCCAGGGCAGGTGATTTAAAAAGAAATAGCAGCAAGGCAGCATCATGCAAGCTTGTTAACTATTCACCACAGCTTAGCATGTCATGGGGGTGTAGCCTTGGAGAAGAGAAAGGGGTATGGTGGAGCAGGGCTTCTACTCCTAGAATGAAATGAGCATGTGTGTTGCCCTCTACCCTTGTCATGGCTCACACGAGGGAAGAGTGAGTTACAGAGCCCTTTTGTAAAACAAGCGGCTGATCTCAGTGATCAAGAAAGGGCTGCTCCAAGGCCCTTTTCGAAGGAGGAAGAGCCCTTTACCCATGTCTTGATGGAGGATGTAGTGAATATTAGATAGTGCCAGTCTTCCTTTCAGCCGTTATCTCCATTCAAAATACGATCATCCCTTTAATTTAGTTACCGTCCAACAGCCTAGAACATGTGAACGAGGCTGCCCTGTTCTCTGTTTCTGAACATTCTGCTGCACAATGGCTCAGTGCCGGGATCTTGAAAACCATCATCACGAGAAGCTCTTGGAAATAGCCATCAACACGCTGGAGAAGATAGTGAAGAGCGAGTACGATGAGGAGATGCCAGATGATGTCCGCATGGTAAGCTCCTCCTACCACTCTCCCACCCACCCCTGCGACCAGAAGAGGTGGAATATTCTTGTTCTGAACCAGGCATAAGACACCACTCCCACCATCAGAGGCTTCTTAGAAATTTTTCTCAATGGCTTTTCTTCCCAGCTCTTTGTGGACAAAGACACCATTGTCAACGCAGTCAATGCCTCCCATGATATTCACCTCCTAAAGATTGACAACCGAGAAGATGAAATCATCACCAAAGCCAATAATAGGATTTACGGTCTGATTGAAAAGGTAAGCATATATCCTTTGCATTAGGTTTTTGTCAGGTCATTACTGAGAAAGGGAGAACTTCTAGTATATCATACTTAACGGCGCTCAGTAGAGCTGGCCATGAAGGAAGATACTAGGAAACATGTTCTCCTAGCTAGACTTTGGGAATTTAAAAAAGAGACATCATGAGGAAGAGTTGAAGCCCCTTCAGGGTTTCCATGTTCATTTTTCAATCCCTGAAGGTTCACAAGGATGAAATCCACCGAAACCGAAGCCGTGTGCTAGAAATCAATCAGTATATCGATCATATCCGCAGCGAACTGGACAACTTGGACATTCTGGAGCAGTAGCTGCTTTCAGTACTAAACTCTGCAAACTCCATTTTTGGGTTTAGATTCTGCAACTAGCAGTGAATCTGCGTGGCGGTCTCCTTCTGGTTGAATCTAATCCATTAAATACAAAGAATGCATCCCACTGCAGAGAATCCATTATCCCCAAAATGTTTAATGATCAACATTAGAATAAAACAGATACAGATATTTTCTTTTAAAAAGAGCAAAATGTATCAGCTTATTTTTGTCTGTCTTCAAGGCATACTTCCAAACAATGCACTCAGTTGTAATTACCGCCCATTTTTTATTTTCTAAGAAAACTTACGGGGCTAAGTTGGCACCTAAAGATGTTCTTCAAAATAAAGATGGCAGTGGATCCTGCCATTTTGATCTGCATTATGATCCCTCTTAAATTTAATGGGAAGGGGAGTAGAATCTTTGTGGTCATCAAAGGAGATGTTGGTGGCATGTTGGAGCCCTTGGCTCCTATGCTGGGGACTGTAGCTAGAGTGTCTTCAGTCTTAGTAGAGATGCTCAATTGCCGTGATATATTCCCACCTCTAACTGCCTCTAGTTACATGTCCTCCAGGACAGAGCATACGGCCCTCCACCCATTTTGGGAGGCTCACTGAGTATTCCAGCGCTCTGCTCCTGAAATCTGGCAGCCTGCCAGGCAAAATGCAGAACTTGTGATGCAGGGAAATCTCATCAGAGGTGACAAGCCCAGGTGGGCCAGACAGGAAGCAACTCCTAATAACCTCCTGGGAGGATCGACCTCCAAGGATATGGAAGAGAAGCGCTCCCCCTCATGCTTCAGCCTCCTAGTATCCGAGAAGCTGAGGATGCAGCCCAGCCATGCCAACAGCACCTCTCCACCATCCATTCAGCCTGAATCTTCTTCAGGTTCATTCACACTACCCACTCCCCCTTCTTCTGTATCCCAGTTCCTCAGTGCTGAAGCAGCTTGTGCTTGATGGTGGAATGTTCTAAGCAAAGGTGAACAAAAAGGGTGGCAGCAGCTGTGCGGGCCCTCAAGTCATACCTGTCGTAGTCATGGGCCCACTCCACATTCCCCCAGCGCTGAATCTAGAGCAAAAGAGAATAAAATTGCAACCCTTGCCTTCCACTGCAGTGCTCAGAGCTGACCATACGGGTCGTGCCTTGCCTCCCCACAACCAACCGGGTAGGCTCCAGAAGTTTGACTTTTCCATCCCTAGAAGAGGAACTGTTTACTTACAGCCTAGGGGACATTCCTTAACTAAAGCCTCCTTCAGCTTGGATGGATCACATTTGTTCCTGGCCTCCATTTTGGTCAAATAATGGCTCTGTTTACCAGGCACAGCAAGCCACAATTTCCTCAACCATGATTCCTTGAATAACCCTAACCCGATTTGCACAGGAGACAAAGTCATAAACCACAGCTTAGAAAACAAAACAAGGCAGGTTTCCATTACAGCTGAGCCAAAACCAAACAAACCACAATACTGCTGAGCACAGTGCCTGAACCCAGCCTACAGGAACGTACAGAACCTGTCATATTGTAAGGTTTACCTGATATTCTTCCTCCAGCCGAGATAGAAGGACAGCTTGCTCAACTGTTAGATGTTTGTCAACCAGGCTCATTGAAAGAATCAGAGACTTCAGCTGTGTTATCATGTACTCTATGCCTGTAATAATTATGTTAATAACTAATTAGGTTGATGTGTTAATAAAAGAAGGGGAACAATCATCACTTTCTCTTATAAAGTGCATTCTCCTACGCTCCAAGGTGAGGATAGTTGGCTAAAAAAATTCAGATCAAGGAATACAGAAATATCCTAATTACTCTCCCCCAGTGAGTTTAGGTTTTTAAATAACAGAACTCAAAGCTGAATATGAAATGCTGATTTCTGTGCCACTTGATTTTCCTCCTCTGTAATGAGAGATTAATTTGGTAGCAAAACCAACTGGGAAGGAGAATGTAACATTTTTAATATTCGGCACCCTCTGAAGGGCAAACATTTCCTCCTTTCTCATTGTGAAAGAATTTAGGCAATGGGGTTAGAACAGACAAAATTAAGTTACGCAACTTGCTACCGGGGATGTGATGAAGGTCCCCTGCATCAGATGTCTTTGAAAGGAGATTATAAAGGATAAGACCTTTAAAGGAGAGTTGGAGAGTTAAATAGAATCTCCACTTCCATTATGCCAGTTGCTGGGAACAAGCTGTCACCTTGATGCTTTGCTTGTGACTTCCTAGAGCATCTAGTACCTGCCTTCTTGAGGAACCAGATGTTGAGCTACATCCTCACAATTTAAAATTGGAAAGATCCCTTAATCTCCCCATCTCCTTCCCCAATCAGCACCACCATGTAGAAAGGAGTGAAGAATTTTTTAATCCAATGCAGTTTAAAATCCACCAGATCCCAGGATGTTGTGTGACGTACCTTGAAGGGCCCAGCTGTTGTATGAGGCGAGGTGGCTAGCGAAGGTGTCTTTTGTGCTTTGTGGGAGGCTATGGCCCATGATGCTCGTTGAGGAGCCAATCACAACGTTGTACCTGGAAAGGGAATAGAGTTTTGATACATCACTGTCTGAGCCCTTTCTGACTACTGCCTGTAACAACTCCCACCTACACACTTTCTATTTATAAGCAGGAATCCCCCGATTTCAAGTCACAAGACAAACTATCAATATGCCCCCTTTAAAATGTTCAATTAGATTATTTAAATATTTCCCACTTCATCTTTCCATTATTCAGATTCTCACTTTGATTCGCAGAGTGAAGGTGTCTGCAGTTCAACTCCTAAAAAGACAATCAGCCACCTCTCTTTACATATATAGAAGTTTACCTCCTGATAGGGTGGCCAGAACAGTTATTCAGGAAGGAAATGGGATCACTTCTGGGAGGCCGTATCATTTTGCTCTCTTACATACTTTAGAAAGACAACTGTGGAGTCTTTATGACAAGGTATGCCTCCAACTTTAAATGAGGGCACACAGAATTAAGTGAGTCACCGAATGCTTTGAAAGCACAAGTCTTCAGTGTGCCTTTGGAGGAAGTTGTTAGCAATCGCACTGGGACGCTGTAAGCTTTCTTCTTCCCCCAGCCCCTGGAACAAGACTTTTAAATGGCCAATTTCATTCCAATACATCATCATCTGCTTTGCTACTCTCTGTCAGCAAAGATTTAGTTTCATGTCCTACACCACGAGGGCTGGCAGAAAGGAGATGTGCATGTTTTCATCAGTACCACCTCTCCAGAATTGACTCGCTGCTTATACTTACCTTTTCTCAGCCCACTCAATTACTGGATCCCACTCGTTCTTCTGCAGTTCTACCAAGGCAGGTGGCTCCTCTACCCGGTAGCTAAGAATCCAGAAGTTTAAAAAAAAAACACACACTCACTTCTGCATCTAGTGCCAGCCTTCGATCTTCCCTTATTCTAAAGAAAAACATAGTTCTGCCACATAGAAAGGATATCTGGTTGGCTACGTTGTCCAAATTGTAGAAGTGCTTCCTTTACTTTATTGCCTAGTTCGAAAAATTTATTTTTTATTTGGTAAGATACATAGATCACTTTTCCTCCAGATATTCAAGGCAGTTTACATGGAAATCTTCCTTTGTTGTCTCCCACAAACAACATCCCTGTGAGGTGACTGGCCCAATTACCCATAGTTCCATGGCTAAGGGTGACCTAACCCTTCCACCACAAGGAAGCATTTAGACTTCCTACCTAGAATAGGCTGCAGAAGCCAAAATAGACTCCTACCAGATAGTATCTGTCTCCAAGAACTTCACAGCTGCCTGGATGAGCTGATCTTTGCTTCGCTGGGATGGGTTGTCCAAAGCTGTGTTGCACAATGTGGTCTAAAGAGCATAAAGTAGTTTTAGTGATCCAGACCTCATAGCTTAAAGTCTACATGACTGAAAAGCAAAGCAGTGAATTTCTTTTGCAAATGTTCCCTCTGCCATGATCAATGCAAATTTGCATCCTACTAGATGACTTTAGTACTTTAGAGATTCAGAATTTTAATTAAATTTTTGACTATAGACCTTTCATAATTTACATATTTGTCTTTACCAAAACAAATAGCCTCCTTGTAAATAGAAAAATTGCACAAAGTTGGGCAAAAGGGTTGGGGTTGCTTTCTTTCTTTCTGGTCTAATGTGCCAAGTTCTTTGTTTTTACTGGGTTTTTTTAACATGGTGAATGGGAGAGAGTAGTTCATTATTACCAAAAAATATATACCAAATCCTTCTTCAGCCTTTATAAATATGTCCCGCATTCTCCTAATGTAACTATAGTTTCAGTAACCTTGGCTTTATTTTACTTAGAGACCCAACTGACTGCAGTTCCAAATCTCCATTTGCTCAGCTGGCCCATTCCTTTCACACACCAGGTGCATCGTATAAAACTTGATAGTGTCCCGCTGAGAATCCCACTCAGTTGCCACAGCCAAAGCCAGGGTTTCACTGGGCACCGTGAAGAGCTTAGCTTGGGGAGTTTTCAGCTTCCGGTAGTCCAAGTTGATTTCAAAGCCACCTGAAGAGAAAGAAAAGACCATGACACTAAATACTGCCCTGATATAGCTTGCTTTTATATTGCTGTACCTCAGCTTCAAGAGGTGAACATTTGTCCTATTCCCGCCCCTCTCAGTAAAGGGGCAAGGATGAGTTTTGCAAGCCTTGCCATAAATTCAGTGAAACACAAGACTGCCTTTAATTATATAAGAAAACCTTCCCATACCGTAGTGGCCAGTCACATTCCTCTGAGAAGCTCACATCAGATATAAATCCCACCTTACTAAGCAACAGTGACATAATCTTAACAGGCCTCTAACTGTCCCTCGTGTTTCTCATAAATAGACATAAAGAGTCTTGAAATTTAACTAGCAGGGATCCTATTAAGCTTTCTCTTCAATTGTTGAGATTCTGCCACATATTACCAGCGCACAGTCTATTTCAGGACTAAGGTGCTGATGGTCTCCAATTCTAATTAGTTCCTCCTCCCAAAAGCGAGGGCGATTTATTTGATTGACATGAAAACCAAATTTTGCACAACGCTGAGTGTCAGAATCCTCACAATCAATCCATCGCCCTGCTAGCTTGCTTGGTTTCTGCCATTACAGTGATGGGGAGATAGGGAGGGAAGGTTGGGAGGTTAACATTTAGGTGCAGATGGACTGTTATTTGGCTCTCAGGAACGCCCAAGGTCATACCAGCATGAGACCCAGAGAGAGTCTTGGACATGTGCAAGAGGGACCCAAAGACGGAAGGGAGGCGTGAAATGGGAAAGGGGTAAAACTAAGTTTTGCCGCACACAGGACTCAGTTCCAGCAATGCTCTAGGGCTGTGCGCTGCTTTCCAATAAATGAACTTTTCTTCGAACCTGCATTGGTTTCAATGGGAGTTGCTTTCATTGGGAACTGAGTACCGCGGTTCTTACATATTGCTGAAACTCCATTTTTTGGATCCACATTCCACATTAAAGTAGATGTATGGGGTGACTGATGATGGAATTCATGTAGATTAAGAATATCTTACCATTAAAAACCAACAAAGAATGCTTTGACAATGACCGTGAGATATTACAAAAGTTTTCATAACTATGAAATTCTCTGGATAAGAATGGACAAAGCTGTGGTGTTTTTGTTTGTTTCTAACAGTGCAGCATCCTGCACTGCACATGGATTCCCAGCTCACCACAAAGATACCAGTGGGATTCTGGAAAAGTCTGACTTTGGATGAGCAAGGTGTGGATCCAGTTTCCCGTTCTGCTCCAAAACTCCCTTTTTTCCCTTAGCGCATCTCGAAGTAGAACAAAGGGGTCCAGATAAACAAATATAATAACAAGCATAAACTATAATGTAAAAAGTGCTTACTTTCTCCTTGGGAGATGCTAACCTTTTGGTAAAATCTTTTCCTTTCTGCAAGACAAAAATACACATGCATATATATATAATAATAAATAATCTATGTATCTAATGGACATCGTCCAAATAAACTGAAGCATAATTAGGCTCAGTGACATCAACAAACCTTACCTCCTGTTTTGGATCACACTCCTTTCCTTCTTCCCCAGTTCCTGAGTCTACAGTAACTTTATCTCTTCATGGATACTCAGCCTAAATCCAGCCACCAGCTACCTCAAGCAATCTTTATATAATCTTTCTCCCGTTCCTTTGGAACTGAAGTGCTAGCAGCCTCGCTTTCCTTGGTGTGAGCTGAAGTATCACAGATAACAGGAAAGGGAATTACTGTGCAGAAATCGCAAGAGCGACCAAACGGTCCTGCACTAGTGCAAGTGTTCATATCTTCCTTACGGCACAGACTCCAGAGCAGGAGGCAGTCCAGAGCAACTGAAGAACGGTTCCCTTTTTCCCCACTCCAAATTTTTCTGCTCCCCAACTAGATAGTGTCAGATCAAAGGCTTTGCCCAGCCCACATTCTCAGAGAGTTACGTATCCCATAGTTATGGTGACCGTATTTTCTCGGGAAAAAAATAAAGGGCAAATCTGAAAAAGGGGTGACTCTGAAAGAGATTCCTACGGCTAAAATTTTTTAATTGCTTACGTTTGTAACTTTGCCTTTCAAAGGAAAATTCAAGAGCAAAACCAAGAAAAGCTTTACAAAAACCCGCATCCTAATAAAAACATCTAAAATCAAACAGTATGCATATACTGATTTTAAGAAAGGCCTTTCGATTTCCATATTTTTCACATGAACGTGGAAAGGCTGTGCGTGAAATGGCACCATTTGTACGGGAAAATATAAGCGGCCCAAAGAAAGGACGAAAGCGAGTTTTTGAAAAATGAGTGAATCTAAAGGACAGCTTTCTGAAACAAAGGGCGTGTGGTCACAGTACCCACAGAGCTCACAATTCCCGCCTCACCTGCCGGGGCCGCGTAAGGCCGCCTGAAGGCCGTGGGG